TGTTCTGGACTGTGTGGGCACCTACACACACATGCACACATGATTAAAAACCAAGAAAATAAACTAAAACCCCAACCTATGGTACTGCTTAAAAGGAAGCAAAGAACTTCTGCACTGTAAATCTGTGCTCTTCCCCTCCAGAGACTCATTGTGTCTTAAGAGTATGGAATTTAGATTTCCGGGTTGGTTGGTTGTTTTTTTTCCACATATAATGGTATAACTAAGTACTTGATTATTTTGAATGACTGGATCAAGTTAGCTACATCCTAATTTATCTAAGTAGTGGTAAATGTAATTGCCCAACTTCACATGACTAATCTGTTGTCAGAACTTAGATTCAGTCCTCTGTGGTCTGTGGCAGAATGTACTTTTTTTTTGAGACAAGATCTTGCTGTGTGTTCCAGGCTGGCCTGGTACCTGCTGTGTAGTGTGAGCTGGCCTCACCGTCTTCTTCTTGTGTCAAGCCTTTGAGTACTAGGATTACAGATGTATGCCACATGCCCTGCCAGAGGCTGTACTTGGTTGGTTTTTATTATATTTTTACTTACTGGGGAGGGGTGTTGTGTACACATGTACAGCAGCGTGTGTGTGGAAGTTGGAGAACAGCTTGCAGTCATTCTCTCCTTCTCCTGGGTGAGTTCTAGGGATTGAAGTCAGGACCGGTGGCAAGTCTTTTCCCCTGCTGACCCATCCCATGGCTCCTACGCTCCATTCTGTAATCACTGGATGTGTTTGCTTTCTTACAGGGCTCTCACCTTCGTCTACCCTTTTGGTGCCACACTGAGTGTCATGAAGCCAGCAGTGGCTGTTCTGTCCACGGGCTCTGTCTGCTTCCCACTGAACAGACCCATTCTGGCTTTCTATCACTCGAAGGTATTGACTTTCTTAGATATGGGAGGGGTATACTTTTGTTATTGACGTAATAAAACTACTTTGTGATGGGCACATGCCTTTAATCCTAGCACTTGGAGAGACAGGCAGTTAGAGCTGTAGTGGTCTACATACTGAGTTCTTTTTTGGATTAAAAACAACACAACAAAATAGTAATTTTTTCCTGTGAAATATTTGCTTTTTATGAGGTAGAAGCTGGTCTGTTTTCCCACTGAACAATTGGATTTATTTCTAATTATCTGTAATTATGACCAGGGATTGTGTGTAGACTCTCTGTATGTTTTGTATTGTTGGGGGGTTTTGTTTTGTTTTGTTTCTTTTTTAAAAAAAATTTTTTGCCTTTGGATGCGTGTATGGTGTGTGTGTGTGTGTGCATCTGCATTTGTGTGTATGAATGAATGTGGGCACATGTGTTCATTGGCACACAAATGGAGGTCAGAGAACAACCTTGGAAGTTGGTCTTCATCCTTGACTTTGGGACAAAGTCTCTTGTTCTTGCTATATGTGCAGGCTAGCTGGCTCACAAAATTCCAGGGATTTTCTTTTTCTCAACCTCCCATAACCACACAGGAATGCTGTGGTTATAGACGTGTGTGCTACCTCAGCTGGCTTTATCTGAGTTCTGGGGATTCAAACTCAGGTCCCCATGCTCACACGACAAGTAGTTTACCCTCCAAGCTATCTCTTCAGTCTTGGCTGCAGATCCAATGTTAGTAGCAGTGTAGTATAAGAACTCACTTAATTGAAATCTAATCAACACTGATTGTCATCATTTTTTCATATTTATCAGAAAGGCAAAGATACTTTGTTTTCATTTGTTGGCAATTAGTAATGTAGGAGTTGCTGAGATGGGTTAGTAGTTAAAAGCACTTGCTGCTGTTTTAGAGGCCCCAGTTTGGTTCCCAGGACCCACTTGGGGTCTCACAACTACCTGTGATTCTAGTTTCAGGGGATCTGATGCCCTTCTCTGGCCTGCACAGGCTGTTACATTCACATGGTGCACATGTATTCATGTAGATGAAGCACTCCTATACATAAGTGAAAAATAAATAAGTCTTTAAAGGGTAATAGTTTTCATAGTCGATACTTTTCAAATGTTAAGTCTTCGTGTGAATTGGCATTTATTGGTGTATCAGACATTTGCTAATGTGATAAATGATACATGCAGTGTGTTTCGGGATCTAAGTATCTGACATTGCTTTGTCACCAACAGAACCAGGGTGGGAAACTGGCAGTGCTTGGCTCATGTCACATGTTCACTGACCAATATTTGGATAAAGAAGAAAATAGTAAAATTATGGTAAGCTTTTCTCTTTCATCAAATTAATGTACACTTCCATGTCGTTAGAAAATACTGAAAAGTATGTTTATTACTCATCGACATGAGTTGTGCTGAACATATTAGATGTCAGGCACTAAAAATACAAGTTGAGTCGGGCATAGCGCGTGCTTTCTAGAAGTTTATGGTATGTCAGGAGAGTGACATACAGACTGGGGAGTCTAGAAAAGTATTGGGGAAGCATGCTGAATTGGAGTGATGGCTGACTCTGGGCAAGTCACGAGGAGCAAGGGGCAAAGCAAGTAGCTTAAGCTTACGCTGAAAGCACAGGGAGCTCTTGCAGGGTTTGTGGCAACCTTGGTGGTCCTCAGACCCCTCCAGATGTGTGGACGCTGGGAAGGAAGAGGGCAACCAGAGCAGTTAGGAGGCTGATGGAGTCACCCAGGCAGGTAAGGACGATGACTAAGTGAAGGTTGTGACTAGTGAGTGTAGCAAGGGCTGACAGCATGAGTTAGTGAGGGGTATATATAAGACTCATCGATGATGAGGAATGAACTAAGAGCCTTTGCTCTGTCTGCATATCTGGAAGAGCGCGTGTCTTGTGAGGAAGCTAATGGGGAAATGTGGGGACCTGCCCCACCGGGAAACTTAGGTCACCTGTGAAGAGGTGGCCTGAAACTGAGGAAAGGCAAGTGCACACCACTCGTCCATTCCCCAGCCTCCCTCTTACCTGGAGACGATCAGACGCAGTTGGGAGTCAAGTCAAGCAAGAACTCGTTTATTGATAGGCAGTAAGCCTCTTTTATACCAGAAAACCTCAGAACCCCAGGAGGGGGTGAAGGACCCAACCAGTCATTTTAAAGGTCACCCTATTTACAAGTTGTTTATGCCCTGACATCATCTCCTGTTTTTAGTATCTTATCTTAGCATAAATAACTTGAGCTCGGGGGCTGGAGAGATGGCTCAGAGGTTAAGAGCACTGGCTGTTCTTCCAGAGGTCCTGAGTTCAATTCCTAGCAACCACATGGTGGCTCCCAACCATCTGTAATGAGATCTGGTGCCCTCTTCTGGCATGCAGGCAGAATACTGTATACATAGTAAATAAACCTTTAAAAAATATTTATAAAAAAAAAAATAACTTGAGCTAACTTTCTTTCTCACCGTTTGTCTTTAGTCTCCATACAAACAACCCAAGCTAACTTTTTCTTAGCCATCCTTTGTATCTATTCTCTGCACAAACAGCTTAAACTAACTTCCTCTGGTACCATTTGTATCCACTCTCTGCATAAACAGCTTAAAGCTTAAGCTCTATTTATCTGAATTTCTCTCGGCACCCTCTTTGCAGCCCATGTATGCCCCACAGATTCCTACTTTTTGTTTTTTAAATAAGGTGAGCTGTTTATCTGTTTGGCATTCCCTCCCCCAAACCCCCCCGCTACCCCGCTCCTTTTTTTTTTTTTTTTTCAAGTCAAACCTAACATTTATTGAGAACACAGAAAATCAGTTGACAGATTAGCCCTATTGTCCTTGAGTGATTTTGTTATGAAGCAAACACAGTATAGGTTTTTAGTCCTAACACTAGTTAAAAATTTTAGGGGATTTCTCTAAAAAGTCTTTTTTACCAATGTCGTGGCCAGGAGAAAAGACTTTTACTATCTGAAGTACTGACATGAACATCTACAGGGAGAAGAGTTAAGAAACCAGTTAAAGTTACAAAGAGAGAGTTATCCTTTCCTACCCCTACCCCCAAAGATAGCTGGTGATTTCCAAAACGAGGCTGTTTTAGTCACATTCAGGAATTATTAGATCAGTCCATCTTTGAGTCCAGTCCCATGGAGAATTGTCAGCCCCACACCTCCAGAGAAGGTTGGTGTTGAGTTGTCCTCATCATATACGGTCACCAGTGTCCATTATGCACTTGGCCTCCAGCACATAATTCTCCTGAAACTCCCAGTCCAGGACCCAGGGAGTGCTCACCTCTAAGCTGTCTGGGTTGCAACAGAAGGGCAGATTCTCCCCTTCTTAGAGCCTAGAGGTCCTGGGATTTGAGGGAGCTACACCCTGGGAAGGAGTCTTTGATGAAGGAGAAGTACACATGGGCATAGTCTGGCCAATGATATCCGTCCTTCTGTTGGGTTGTGGACCCCAGGAAGACCTGGAGAAAGATGGTGAGCAAGGGGAAGCCACCATTGTGAATGTTGAGCTGTTCCCAGGAACTGTGGTCCAGGCTTTTGGTTGAGGTAGAGAAGGTCAGTGTCCTCTTAGATGTAGATCCAGTCATCCTCATGTAGCCGTGTGCAAAAAGATGCTGGCCCAAGTGAAAAGCTTGGGACTTCTTCAGCAGCATAGAGCAGAGGTATGCCATTCGGCTGTTCCACGTACAGCCTCTCTCAGTAAGCATCCATTGAGAGAGAAGTAGAGGTCCAGCGGGGTTTTGCTCAGCAGCGGCAGCAGCAAAGACAGTTTTAACCTCAGCCCCGGGGCGCTGGACGTCGCTTTCGCCATTGGCTGTGCGTGTGAGGGCTGCAGCGGAAGAGCAGGTGGGTCTATGGCAGTGGGGTGCGGCCACACCAAAGGCCATCTCAGTACAGTCACCATTGTCCCCAGGCTCCGAGGATGTTGAGGAGCCAGTAGTGGGGCCCTGGAAGTGGTAGCGGATACTGGAAGCAGGTAGTAGAGTTCTCCTGGGGTGGGTGTCAGAGGCTGCTGTAGGGAAGATGGGGAGGCCGAAGGATGTGGGGGCAGCAGTGGTGTGGGAATGAGATCTCTGGGCTGTAGCAGGAGCCAGGAAGAGCAGGACAACCATCAGCTGGAGTACCGCCATCTGATGTCACAATAGCACACACTTGCAGCTCATGTAGCCAGGGTCACTCCTATCAGGAGGGTTTAGGTCCCGTAGTTTGTGTTGCCGAATCTCACGGACAAGTGTGGAGAAGGCATCCTCCACACCCTGCCGGGTCCTGGCTGAGGTTTCGATATAGGGGATGCCATAGCTGTGGGCAAGGTCCTGGGCCTGCCAAGACTTAACAGTACGAGCAGCTAGGTCACACTTGTTCCCCACCAGCACCATTGGTACATCATCCGAGTCCTTTATCCGTTTGATGTGCTCCCTGTACTGATGGATGTTGTTAAAGGACTTGGTGCTGTTGATGGCAAACACACAGAGGAAACCTTCCCCTGTGTGGATGCATTGGTCCCTCACGGCACCACATTCCTCCCGACCCGCTGTGTCTAGGATGTCCAGCAGACATGTCTCCCCATCAATGACCACCTGTTTCCGATAGAAATCCTCTATGGTGGGGTCATATTCATCTACAAAATGATTCTGGATCAGCTGGATCGTCAGGGCACTCTTTCCCACACCTCCAGCACCCACCACCGCAAGCCTGTATTCTGTCATCATTTTTTGTAGGGACTGTCACTCCAGGAGTTCCTGCCCCACAAGGGGCACGAAGGAGTGGCTGGGGAGCAGAAGGCCCTGATTGGGGCCCTACGCTGGTGTCCTTGTAGCCCTGAGGCCAGAGTGTGATGGCCTCAGGGTGCAGAATAACTGAATATGGGTGCTAATTCTCTCTTTTGTTCTATTAAAACAAAAACATATTTAAATTTAACAGCTATTTATCAGAGGATATTTGGCTCTGGGGTTAACTCCCTGCGTTTGTAAAGGGGGTACCTTTAGGAAGGGTTGGCATGCCTTGTATGGACTGTCTTTTAAGGTCAATATCCTAAATCCCAATGTCAGCTTGTTGACTCGCCAGTTTCCCTTGGACAGAAATCCTGGAAGCCCAGAATGCCCCCTCATATGTTGTATGGGCATTTCTGTCCCTCCAGTAATCCCTTGAGGGCAACCATGAATGGGGAAATTAACTACATACTCTGTTGGACTCTATCTATGAACTCCGGTAGGGGTTTGTTGGGTTTTTGTCTTACCCCTACTATGGGAGATTTGGTAGACCCTTCATCTAATTTGTTCCAGGCTACAAGTCCCGTTTGTTTAACCTGATCTTGGTACAGCCCTTGCACGACCACCTGTTGGACTCCCGTAAAGTACCCTTCAACTGTACCTGCTAGCATGCCATAAGTGATAGGGATGGGGGGGTGGTTGGGCACCCGATTGGCCTCTACCCTGGTCTAGCATTCCTCCTTATCTTTAGCCTCCTAGGGGTGCCACTCTAGAGGTCTATTAGGGCTGGGGGCCGAGTTTTCCCCTGACCCATACCTCCCAGTGAGGGGCTGGTTGTAGAGGTCCATATTACAGAGATCTCTCCTTAATGCCATGTATGGTGTTTGAGCGACCTCAGCTCCAGGGTCCAAGGTGGAGGGCCAGAATCCCTTGAGGCCCAGGGATCGGGCACAGTGATTTTTACTTTTGCTTTAACCTCTACTGTATATTTCTCTGTGAATTTTGCACGCTCCTTGCCAAATTTGGCCCCAATTTTTTTTTCTTTATTCTCAGAACCTTCCCAGTCCTTTTTGGCCCCTGGGGGGGGGGGTGTGTTTTCCTTTCTTTCTTTTCTAACCCTTGGGGAGAATCATTTTCCCTCTTTGACTCCTGAAAAGGGGGTAGCAGAGAATCTGGGTGAAAAGCCACCTTAAGGGCTGTGATAGTGGGGTAGAAGCCCAGGGTGGCAGTATGCCGAAATGTTTCCCCCTTTCTCTTGCCAACTTTTCCATTTGGGCCCAAGTGCTGCAGGAAAAAGGTTGGCACTAGGCACCCAAAAGGCAAGGAGAATTATAATCTCCCAGGTGGCGACAATATTACTTTTAGAAATTTCAAGCCCTCTAGACTTAAACATATAACGCAGGACCTTGAGGGCTGGCTTATCACTTGAGGAGGTTGCATTACCCATACTGAGGGTTTCACTTACCCTGGAAGACCGCTTGGCCTCAGCCGAAGTACTTCAAGCCCCACATTAGGGCACCAGCTGTGGGGACCTGCCTCACCAGGAACTTAGGTCACCTGTGAAGAGGTGGCCTGGAACCGAGGAAAGGCAAGTGCACACCGCTCACCCCCGTTCCCCAGCCTCCCTCTTACCCGGAGACAATCAGAGGCAGTAAGCCTCTTTTATACCAGAAAACCTCAGAACCCTAGGAGGGAGTGAAGGAACAAACCAATCATTTTAAAGATCACCCTATTTACAAGTTGTTTATGTCCTGACACCATCTCCTGTTTTTAGTATCTTATTTTAGCATAAATAACTTGTCTTTAATCTCCATACAAACAACCCAAGCTAACTTTTTCTTAGCCATCCTTTGTATCTATTCTCTGTACAAACAGCTTAAACTAACTTCCTCTGGTACCATTTGTATCCACTCTCTGTACAAACAGCTTAAAGCTTAAGCTCTATTTATCTGAATTTCTCTCGGCACCCTCTTTGCAGCCCATGTATGCCCCACAGGGAAACAAGCATTTTCCTAGTGTCTGCGAGACCTGAACACCATAGAATTCCAGCAACTCACCTGCCAGAGGAAGATGTGTCCACTGAGCTTCTCTGTTAGTGGGACGAGCCCTGCTCATCTTACATTGTAGTGGGAGGGGGACTTAGAGGTCTACCTGGTTCTAGGGCCTCGACTGAGCTCCAAAACCTAAATGTCTGCTTTTGAAAAGTTGAATTTTTTTTGTTTTGTATAATTATGATTTTGTCATATTATAATAGCCAAAGTTAAAAAGGTGTGTTTTTAAGAGTTTAGCCTGTCATCCTAGTAAACAAAGGTTGCTTTAGGATTGTGAACAGGTTTTAGTAAGTTTTGCTTGTTACATGTTAGAATACCCTAAAGCAAATGATAATAAAGGTTGCATAGACTGAAGAAAACCTGTTAATTTCCAGAGATTTTACTGACAGAAGGCTGATCATCCTTTTTAAAATTACTAGTTGTCTTTTCTCCCCTTCTCAATTAATTTGTCTAGCCTGACCTTGAGCCTTCCCAAACAGCCAGGTGTCTAACTAACTATATTTATCATTTTAAATGCAGGATGTTGTGTTCCAGTGGCTCACAACAGGAGACATCCACCTAAACCAGATTGATGCTGAGGACCCAGAGGTAGGAGACTGAATCATCAGAAGACTGACATGGAGAATGAGGCCAGCTTCTTAGAACCACTTCAGAGGAATAGATGTCTCTTAACTCAGCCCCAAGTCAGTTGGAAACAAAGAGCTGCTGCTTGGGGAAAGGAAGGGCACGTTATAGAAAGCCAGATAGCAATAGTTGAAGCCAGTGCTTCCATATAAATATCAGGATTTAAAATGGACCCTCGAGGGCTGGAGGGATGGCTCAGAGGTGAAGAGCACTGGCTGCTCTTCCAGAGGACCTGAGTTCAGTTCCCAACAACCACATGGTGGCTCACAACCATCTGTAATGAGATCTGGTGCCCTCTGCTGGCCTGCAGGCATACATGCAGGCAGGACATTGTATACATAATAAATAAATAAACAAACAAACAAACAAACAAATCTTAACATACATACATACATACATAAATAAATAAATCTTAACAAAAAATTTGACCCTCTAGAAGATTGCTGGGCTAGAGAGATGGCTCGGTGGGTAAAGGCCCTTGTTGCCAAACCTGACAGCCTGAGTTCAATCCCTGGGACCCACATGATGGAAGGAGAGAGCCAGCTCCTTTGTATTGTCCTCTTGCTGCCACCTGCATGCCTTGACCCATGTGTCCCCACACATACAATAAACAAGTAAAATGCAAAGTAAACATAAAAAGAGAACAAGTTAGGACAGCTAGTCATCCTGGGAGTACTCTTTATGTTTCTGTTTGGATGTGTGAGTCTTGATGACTGAACTAGGATTTCATGGAGGGCCTCTGGCCAGGAAGTGAAAAGAGATGGCTGGCCTGTTTCTGTCTTCCAGGTTGTGTGCTGGGCTGTGTCATGGCACAATTAGTCTCCTTGCCATTGCTCTCGCCCTTAGCCCACTGTCATTGGAGACTGAAGTTGTTAAAGCTGCCCCATGTTGCTGGGAAGGGCAGTTATCTGTCTGTTTCTTGATTTAAAAAAGTTTGAGGAGTGGGAGAAGTTGTTGGTTTTTTTTTTTTTTTTTTTTTTTTTGGTTTTTTGAGACAGGGTTTCTCTGTGTAGCTTTGTGCCTTTCTTGGATCTCACTCTGTAGACCAGGCCGGCCTCGAACTCACAGAGATCCACCTGGCTCTGCCTCCCGAGTGCTGGGATTAAAGGCGTGCGCCACCACCGCCCGGCTCATTTTTGGTTTTGTATTTATTTAGACTGGGTTTCACTGCATGGTCTTGGTGAGCCTAGAACTCAGTGTGTAGACAAGGCTGTCCTTGAACTCACAGATAGCCACCCACCTCTGCCTTCCAAAGTACTGGGATTAAATTGATGGTAGGGCTACAGAAAAAAAGTGAATGCATTGTATTATTTCTATAATGCTCAGGCAAGTCTCCTGTGCTGAAGGTAAAGATTTTTGTGAAACAGGACTAGCTGTTTGGTTTGTTTGTTTTGTGGTGGAGGTCAAATCCTGAGTTTCCCATATGCAAAACATTCAATGTCTGAGCCATCCCCCAGCCCTTCAGATGACCAGCTAGAGTAATAGGTAGTTGTGAGCCACATGAAGTGGGTACTGGGGACCAAACGCTGGTCCTGGGGAAAGCTCTTAACACTGAGCCATGTTTTCCCTTTGCTTATACTGCCCTTTATTAAACAGTGTCCTCTTGAGATGGACATTTAGATTCTCCTGGTCTTTTACTATTACCAGCATAGAGCACATCTTCACTGCTTCTGAACAGTGCTAGGGGATGTCCCTGGCTAGGGGAGAAGGACTGGGATATAGTGTGCACAGGGTAGGCCTGTTTGCATTGGTGCTACACATGCTCATGCATCTCTAACAGGAGAGAGCAGACATGGCCCGGATGCTGGGGGAGAGGGGGTGTATGTTGTAGTGGGAGTTTATGGACTTTGTCTTTTCGCCTCCAATTTCTCACTGTAATAATAAAAAAAAGTTGTTCGTTAAAAAAGTCTTAAGGAAAATTGTTTTGAATGGTTGAAGTGATAAAGGGGTATTGCCTCAGATGGAGATGTGAGTAAACTTGAGAGAAAAAGTTGATTGCTTAGTATTCAAAGTGAAAGACCATGATAGTAAAAGGAGAATGCCAGAGTCAGCACGGCCCCAGCTGTGTTCAGCTGTGTGTAATTGGAGAGTTGGACTCAGTCAACTTTGGGGTTCAGTCCAGTAGCTGTTTTCCTCTTTCGGCTTGAGGTGTCTGATGGGAGTTGTCAGTGATGGCAGTGGTGAGATCTCTCGGCAAGGAAATAGAGGTTTCGTAGACTGAGACCTGAGATGGTGGCTGCTTGTCAGAGTGAACTCCCATTTACTTGTGCTGAAAGGAACTCTCTTTTGGCTTTTAGATTTCCGACTACACGATGGTACCAGACACTGCCACCCTTTCAGAGCAGCTCCGAGTGTGTCTCCAGGAGGGTGATGAGAACCCTCGTGACTTTACCACCCTCTTTGACCTGTCCATTTACCAGCTGGATACCACCTGCCTCCCCAAGGTCATCAAGTCAGTACTGAGGCTGCCTGGGCTCCACACTGCAGTCCACTGTTTGAAAACATGAGCCTGAAGATTGTAGTTAGGTCATGTCAGATTAACAGGAGAACGTGTTCTCAGATCTGTGATGAAGTCAGTAGGGAAGTTGGTGTTGGGTGCATGCATGAAATAGAGGAACTACTACTAATTACTATCCCCCTGTGTCCCAGGATCTAAAGGGCATTTAGGATAACCAATACTTTTCTACTTTGCCAACAACTTTTCTGGGTTTAGCATGAGTGCTGGGTTCCAAGAACTCCTTAGTAAACAGATATATTTGGTCCTCTTTAGAAGCACTTAAACAGAGCAGAGAGAGCACTGAGTCTCTTGGACTTATCATCACAGCCTATGAGGCACATGCCCGAGAGCCTTTAAACCTCAGCTACTCTTCCTAGCTCCACTGTTAACACTGCATCTACAGTGAGTCTCCATTCTTCCTGACTCTGGTCATTTGACAGGCTGCTGCAGTATTTTGAGTGCTAAGCCCAGCTCAGTGGAAGAGCACTCACCTAACATGTGAGGCTCCCAGATACTGGAAAAAATTGTTTTGGCTATTTCAGGAATACAGATTGAAGCATGTGCCTCTACTAGACGTCTTTTCTAGTTTCCCACAGATTGGACCCTGGTCCTGTCTCTCAGCTGCTCCCTTGCCAGGACTTATACAACATGGGTAAATTTCCAGGGCTTTGTTAGATAATGAGGCTTGCTGTAGAGTCTCGTACTCCAGCGGATTCAGTTCCTAAAACCATTCTCATCCCTGACAGCACACAGCTTGGCAGACACAGGTTCAAATAAAGAAATGTTTGTTGAGTGGGGTGCACTGGCACAACCTTGTAATATCAGCACAGGGTGCAGAGAGACTGAAGGAGGATGACTGAGTTCAGACTCAGCCCAGACTACATCTTACCTGTCTCTTAAAAAGTCAACTTTGGAAGCTACTTCAAGTCTCCACACCTCTGCTTCCTCTTGCTTCAGTAATTATGCCACAGTCTAGAGTGTTTTGAGGCCTAATGAAATGAGTTCTGCGACCCTGCACTGCAGGGTCAGAAAACTTGTGATGTGTAGTGGGTAGCTGTTCCCCACATGGTGTGTAGTGGGTAGCTGTTCCCCACATGGTGTGTAGTGGGTAGCTGTTCCCCACATGGTGTGTAGTGGGTAGCTGTTCCCCACATGGTGTGTAGTGGGTAGCTGTTCCCCACGTGGTGTGTAGTGGGTAGATGCTCACCATGTGGTGTGTAGTGGGTAGATGCTCACCATGTGGTGTGTAGTGGGTAGATGCTCACCATGTGGTGTGTAGTGGGTAGGTGCTCACCATGTGGTGTGTAGTGGGTAGATGCTCACCATGTGGTGTGTAGTGGGTAGATGCTCACCATGTGGTGTATAGTGGGTAGATGCTCACCATGTGGTGTGTAGTGGGTAGATGCTCACCACGTGGTATGTAGTGGGTAGCTGTTCCCCACGTGGTGTGTAGTGGGTAGATGCTCACCATGTGGTGTGTAGTGGGTAGATTCTCACCATGTGGTGTGTAGTGGGTAGGTGCTCACCATGTGGTGTGTAGTGGGTAGATGCTCACCATGTGGTGTGTAGTCGGTAGATGCTCACCATGTGGTGTGTAGTGGGTAGATGCTCACCATGTGGTGTGTAGTGGGTAGATTCTCACCATGTGGTGTGTAGTGGGTAGATGCTCACCATGTGGTGTGTAGTGGGTAGAGGCTCACCATGTGGTGTGTAGTGGGTAGATGCTCACCATGTGGTGTGTAGTGGGTAGATGCTCACCATGTGGTGTGTAGTGGGTAGATGCTCACCATGTGGTGTGTAGTGGGTAGATGCTCACCATGTGGTGTGTAGTGGGTAGATGCTCACTATGTGGTGTGTAGTGGGTAGAGGCTCACCATGTGGTGTGTAGTGGGTAGAGTCTCACCATGTGGTGTGTAGTGGGTAGGTGCTCACCATGTGGTGTGTAGTGGGTAGAGGCTCACCATGTGGTGTGTAGTGGGTAGAGTCTCACCATGTGGTGTGTAGTGGGTAGGTGCTCACCAGTTGTTGTCTTCCGTCCATGGGACTCTGTCCTTTTGTATTGTCTGTAACTCTGCTAAGTAGTGCAACTCCTTGTCCAACTTAATTTTCCCCTTATTCTGTTCATGTAGTATTTCTGAGACAGGGTCTGGCTTGTCTTGAACCCATAACCCTCATTGCTAGGAGAGGTTCTCCCCCAGGCACCCGAGAGTGTGCAGACAGTGACTGAGAGCAGTAGCTTAGCTGATTGCCTTTCTCTAGACATAGACCTCACCCCTGCCTGAGGTTGTAGACTCACTGGCATTTGCTTCTCTCACTTAATTTTGAAAGGCCACAAATATGTATTAAATGTACATGTGAGGCCAGGTACAGTGG